GGCTAAAATTTTGCACACATGTTTATTTTGCCAGTAGGCAGGTTAAGTTCGTGAATGGGCCATGTAGGTCCACGTTTTCATATAGCCCCCATATAACGGTAACTCCCGATATTCGGTATTTTGATGGTTTTAGCGACATTATTCACCGGAATTGTTTCATATTTGGCATTTGAAGTTCGAAATGTATACTACAGCCTATGCCAGAAAATTGTCTGTGCAAGTTCACGTCTTCGTATAGCCCCCATATAACGGTACCTCCCTATAGTCGGTATTTTGATGACTTTAGCGACATTATTTCCCGGAATTTTTTCAAATTTGGTGTTTGAAGTTCGAAATGGATACTACAGCTTGAGATAGAAAATTGTCTATACAGGTCCCGGTCTTTGTATAGCTCCAATATAACGGTACCTCCCTATGTACGGTATTTTGATGATTTTGGATACATTATTCAAAGTTTATTTCAAGTTTCGAATTTGAATATGATAATGGCTTGTGACAAACAATGCCTATGTAGGTGCACGTTGTACAGGCCCTAATATAACGGCTATATTTGGTATTTTTAAAATGAATTTTTGGCGAATGTTATCTGTTTCGAAAATTTTCAAATTCGTTCAAAATGGTGGAGGGTATTCAAAGTTCGGCCCGGCCGAACTTACTGCTTTTCTACTTGTTGCTTATTTAAAATGTTGACCCTTTGTGGGGGAGGTACCGGAAGGAATGGCCCGATCTCTACCATCTTTATAACAAATTTGGTGTTTATAGAAATATGTTTTTACCCCTTGATGAAGTGGACCTATATTGTCCATTTTCGTACCTGACCTAGCATTGAAGCAAGTATTATGTAAAGTAAAATATATTTTTTAAGCTATGACCTTTTGTGAGGGAGTTACCAGATGGAGTGAACCGATATTGCACATCTCCGAGTTCGATCTAAGTTTGGAACAAATCGGATACTCCCTTCGAGAGTTATCGGGCGCACCAGTCAGACAGATAGACAGACAGACGGACGGACGAACATCGCTAGATCGACTCCAAATGTCCTGAAAAGGTTTGGTCCAAAGTGTCTAAAACCCGTATTTCGACAAGGCACGTTTTGGTCGAATCAAATGATATATACCTTCTATAACCATAATGCAGAGGGCATAAAAAAGACCGAGGAAAATTTGATCCAAAAAAGAGTATATTTTGGAATTTTTTGTAAACCCCAACATACAATAAAGGGTATTTTAATTTTGTCATTCAATTTTCAACACCTCCAAATATTCTTCGAAGACCCCAAAAAGTAACATCTATCCTCATATAACAATACCTCCAGATTTTCGATTGCTTGAAAGTTTCTGCCACAATTTCCAAACAAATTAGATGATAATATGGGTTTTGCTATTTGGGCTATTTTTAATTTTTATTTAATCAGATTAATATTCTCAGTTAACATATTCTTCAAGTTCAGCCCGCAGAATCTAAAGCTCTTTTTACTTGGTTTTAATACATTAATGCAAATATTTCTTTCATATCTAATGAAAATATATATTTATTTTCTGTCGTCACTTATAGCGAAATGTGATGACGAATATTTTTTTCATCATTCTAAAAAGATTCTTTGTTGGAGATTTTTGCACCAAATCACAAAAAGTGCGGATTTTACTGCAAATGAGTTTTTAAAATCATTATCTAAAATTGGCTTTATCAGATTTCAGATTTCGACTTGTCCCTCCATACAAACTTTGTCATAACAATACAGAAAACAATTGTGTTCATGAAAACAAAAAATGAATTTTACTTTGAATACACATGAACGGCATAGCTAACTTTCAATAAGAAACAGAATAAACAAAAAGCTAATTTCTCCCCGACGGGGAATTGAACCCCGGTCTCCCGCGTGACAGGCGGGGATACTAACCACTATACTATCGAGGATAAGTACAGAAGTACATAAAATTCACGATTTAGAGCTTAATAACTGTCGGGCGGACATCTCAATATATTTAACTTTTTTTTTTATATCCACAGCCATATGGCTAGAAATTGATACGAGATGTGAAATATCGGTCGTCTCCTTCTGGTACATCCCCCAAAAAACCGAAATTTTCAAAAAAAAAAAAATAAATAAAAAGTAATCCGATTGCTATGTAAGGTGTGAAAATGGACAATATCGGTCCACGCCATCGCACACAAAGGGTCAAAGTTTTGAATAGTTATAACTCTTATAAAATGTGACGTAAGAGTCCGATTGTCTACAAATTATACACTTCACAATATTTTTTATTAACCTAAAGATGTTAAGATGAAATATATTGGTCCACTCCTTCTGGTACCTCCCCCCACAAAGAGTCAACATTTTGAATATTACGAAGCTCATAAAACATGAAATTTACATCCGATTCCATTCAGACTAGGCACATCTCAATATTTCAATAAACACAATATCTGTTTTAAATATGGTAGAGATCGGACCATTCCTTCTGGTACCTCCCCCACAAAGGATCAAAGTTTTAAATAACAAAAATGATCATAAAATCCGAAATGAGCATCACGTTCTCTTTAAATTACAAACATCACAATATTTTTATTAACCCAAGGTCTGGTGGGATGTACAAAAAAATCGGTTTACTTCTTCTGGTACCTCCCTTATAATGGGTCATAGTTTTGAATATTCTTGAAGTTCATAAAAACGAAATTAACATCCGATTCCATCCAGACTTGGAACGTCTCAACATTTCCATCAAAAAAAGATCTGCTTCAAAAAGATGGTAGAGATCGGATCATTTTTTCAGGTACCTTCCCCAAATAGGGTTCAAGATTTCGAAAAACAAAACCTTCAAAAAAAATCGAAATAGGCATCCAACTCTGAAGATGATATATGTCTTCTTTTGGTACCTAACCCACAAAGAGTAACGATTTTCAATATTTTTATCTCTCATAACATGTGAAACAAGTCGGCGATTCTTTACAACTAGCTATATCTAAATATTTATCCTAACCAGAAATCTGATATGAATATGTAATTTATCGAAATTTATGATTTCGCATAAAATTGGATATAAATATTCGATTTCCTTAAAATTGGCACATACAAATATTTGTATCTGTATTAGATGAGGTATGAACAAGTTAAAAAGCAGTAAGTTCGGCCGGGCCGAACTTTGAATACCCTCCACCATTTGGAACGATTTTGGAAATAAAATCCTTAAAAAATTATGTTAAAATTTTAAAAATACCGAATATAGCCGTTATATTGGGGCCTATACGACGTGGACCTACATAGGCATTGTCTGTCATAAGCCATTGCCATATTAAAATCATCAAAATATCGTACATAGGAAGGAACCATTATATCGGAGCTGTGCGAACACCTGGATTAGCAAAGACAATTTTCTGTCACAGGCTGTAGCATCCATTACGAACTTCAAATACGAGATCTCAAACAATTTCGGTGGGGTTTATATCTAAACTCGTCAAAATACCGAATATAGGGAGGTACTGGTATACGGGGCCTATACGAAGACCTGGACCTGCATAGAAAATTTTCTGTCACAGACTGTAGTATCCATTACGAACTCCAAATATCAAATTTGAAACAGTTCCGGTGAATAATGTCGCTAAAATCATCAAAATACCGAATATCGGGAGGTACCATTCTATGGGGGCTATATGACCTATGGACCTACATGGCCCCTACATGCCTACTGGAAAAATAAGCATGTGTGCAAAATTTTAGCCTTCTATTTCAATTCGTTCGAAAGATAGCGTGATTACAACAGACAGACGGAGAGACAGACAGACTGACGGACATCGCTAAATCGACTTAGAATTTTACGTTGATCAAGAATATATATACTATGTTGGGTCTGACATGAGTTTTTCGAGGAGTTACAAACGTAATGACAAAATTAATATACCCTCCATGGTATGGTGGAGGGTATAAAAAGGAATACTTCGGTCCGCTATATCTGTTACCTCACGCATATTTGCAAAATCTGGCTCGTTTTAATATTTATATTAGTCTTAGGTCAGACACGAATTGGTCAATATCGGCCAACTTCGGAACCTCCGCCATGAATGGTCAACAGTTTGAATAATCATAACTCAAGGCTTGGGGTATACATCTGCCGGCAAAACCGTCTGATACTATTTCACTTAATTTCACTTTACAACACTATGTGTTGGGGGTATTATCTTCAGGTCATAATTATCTTTCGAAATTCACGAAATGTTCCATCAGGATAGTGTTAAGGTCGGGAATGCCTTTTATTTTTGTATCAACTGCAAAAGAAACACAATTTTGATATATTACGAATATTGTATCAACCGAAAGTGGTCTTCAATTCGGTCCTATTTTTATAACCTTCACATGAGTACATGATATCGGCTGAAACATATACATATATAGAAGATATAGCTTTATCTTAACCGATTTTTACTAAATTTGAAGTACTTGCTTCTCATCTCAATCGGATAATAAATAAATGTTCACAAGAATATATGGATGCATATGCATAAATCGACTCAGAAAGTGATTTTGCGAAGATCCTCAAATGTACCGAACGTAGTGTCACGGCATATCTCGCCTTGACCTCGGCGTTGATAGAAATATTGGGATATTTTATAAAAATTAAAAAAATCATTTTTGTGGGTGGGGTGCTAAAGATATGGGTTTATCTTGTCCATTTTCGCTCCTGACTTATCACGATCAAGCGATCGTTTCTTTTTCTAAGTTGTATTTTTTTTATTGAAAATGTTAATATTATGTGAGGACTGTCTAAGTTTGATAAAAATATTATGATTTACTGAGTTTGGTCCAAATCGGTTACACTCTTCGAGAGTTATCGTGCGCACCAGCAAACAGAAAAACGGACACAGCTAGGTCGACTTCAGGAACATATTGTGTCCAAAATGACTTGGGGGTCATCAACCTATATTTCCATAAGGCACTTTTTGACCTATCAAATGACATATACCCTCTGTAGAAATCTGGCTTCAAGTAGGAAAACAAAACAAAATTTTGACATCACTTTATTTTCACATCACTTTATTTCGTAAAATATCTACTCTACATTGAAAACATCCACACAACTCTGTTGAAATTTTATTCAATCTTCTTGTTTTTCTATTGTTGTAAATACTCATATAAATTAATTAATGATCTCGGCAAACTCGCGAAATTTCTTGCAATTTCCCAAGGCATCCAGAATAAAGCCATTGCCACACTTCTGGTCGATTATCACAACATCGGTGTCAATGACTTCCTCCGGTTTAAATAACAATTTCTTTTCGCCAATTTCCATTGATTCGGCTGAATCCTTCTTCAAATTATCCTTCAAATCATTATATTTGGTTTGAAGTTTCTTTTGCAAATCTTTGGATTTCTCTTTGAGTTTTTGGAAACCTTCACGAATATTTTCGGACCATTGTTTGGTTTTCTCCTTGACATTGGCACCCAGATTTGCTGTGCTCTTCTTCAGTTTGCAACTCCATTCCTTGAGGACATCTCGGACTTTGTTGCCAGATCGTTCTTCATCGCTGTTGCCCGGGATTTTGGGGCCAATGATGGTGGCATCCGATGTCGCTAATTTATCATCGCATTCAAATAAATTAGCCTGGGTGGCCACAAAACTGAGCAGCAATATTAGAGCTGATAGGAATATTACTTGGTGTTTCATTTCAAGCACAATTGTGAATTTGTATTTTCCGTTTTTTTTTTTTCTATTTCTTCATGGAATTTTCTTTGACGTGTAGAAGCTCTGACGCTGCACGGTCTACTGATTGTGAGTACATTTCGACGACAGTTATTTGTATAGAGCTCACTATGGTTAAGTGATTTATTTATTTATGTAATTTAATGTAGGCAAATTGTCTCCCATCACATGTATGCAACGAGACCTCCACTTCACCTCATCTTTGATGGGGGGGATTCAATTGTTCGTCTTTTGTATATTCATCATAAAAAACTGGATGCAGTTCAGCGAATGACCAGCGGGGCAATTATTCTACAGAACTTATTTATAAACTTTTCTTGATTATTTCTATGCTATTCAAGCTTATTCATCTTTGAAGAAATAGAGCCAGCCACCAAAGGAGAGCTGATAAGATGATTCAGAATTGCACAACTTTGTGGCAATCACACTTTCTCAGAAAAGAATTAGAAATAGTAGGTGGTAAAAAAAACAAGATTTTAAATGAATGTAAGGCTAATTTTGTGGTGAACGTAGGAATACCGTAAAGTTAGATTAGAAAAGGCTATATCGAAAGATGGTCAAGACAAACATCTTCAAAATTCCATTTATGGAGGAGAATCACAGTTTATGTGGTGGAAAATTCCTTTTGTGGTTGAAAGGCCCAGTTTAGGCTATGTAGACAAATTCACCATGAGTCGAAGGTGGCAGTTATAACATAGTGCATTATGAAATCCCATTATATAGGGTGACTGGCAAGTGCCCGTTACTTCGTCCGCGAAATGTCCACATTAAAATGTAAGATTCCTTCCAGTTTCGCAATACCAAAATCAATGCCACTTAATAATTTTCAAAATATTTTAGTACACATTTCACAGTTCCAGGCACCAACAATTAGGTCAAAATCAAACTTGAGGATTCCTGTGCTATCACTTCACGCAATACCAACTTTAGTCACATTCAGTACGAAGCATTCAAACAATTAGTATATTCTTGATCAGCATAAAATTCTATGTCGATTTAGCGATGTCCGTCCGTCTATCCGTCTGTGGAAGTCACTCTAGCTTCCAAACGAAATGAAGTAGGTTGATAAAATTTTACTCAATTGTATATTATGTCTGCAGGACTTTTGGTATTGAAAATGGGTCATATAGATCCACTTTTTGGTATAGCCCCCATATAATTGTACCACCCTTTTTCGGTATTTTGGTGATTTAAGCGACATTATTCACCGGAAATGTTTCAAATTTAGTATTTGAAGTTCGTAACGGATACTACAGCCTATAACAGAAAATTGTCTATGTAGATCCACGTCTTCGTATAGGACCTAAATATCAGTACCTCCCGATTTTCGGTATTTTGATGATTTTGGCGACATTTTTCACCGGAATTGTTTTCAAATTTGTATTTGAAGTTCGTAATGGATACCACAGCCTATGACAGAAAATTGTCTGTGCAGGTCCACGTCTTCGTATAGTCCCCATATGACGCTACCTCTCAATATTCGGTATTTTGATGATTTTAGCGACATTATTCCATGGAATTATTTCAAATTTGGTATTTGAAGTTCGTAATGAATACTACAGCCTATGACAGAAAATTGTCTGTGCAGGTCCACGTCTTCGTATAGCCCCCATATGACGCTACCCCCTAATATTCGATATTTTGATGGTTTTAGCGACATTATTTACCGGAATTGTTTCAAATTTGGTATTTGAAGTTCGTAATATGTACTACAGCCTATGACAGAAAATTGTCTGTGCAGGTTCACGTCTTCGTATAGGCCCCAAATATCAGTACCTCCCGATATTCGGTTTTTTTGATGATTTTAGCGACATTATTCCACGGAATTGTTTCAAATTTAGTATTTGAAGTTCGTAATGGATACTACAGCTTAAGACAGAAAATTGTCTATGCAGGTCCACGTCTTCGTATAGCCCCCATATAACGGTACCCTCCGATAATCGGAATTTTGATGATTAAAGCGGCATTATTCACCGGAAATGTAAGACAGAAAATTGTCTGTGTAGGTTCAGGACATCGTATAGGCCCCATATATCAGTACCTCCCCAAATTCGGTATTTTCATAATTTTAGCTACATTATTCACCGATTTTTTTTTGTTTCGCATTTGAATATTGTAATGGCTTATGACAATAGTTGCCTATGCAGGTCCACGTCGTCGTATAGACCCAAATATAACGGCTACATTCGGTACTTTTAAGATTTTAACAGAATTTTTAACGGATTTTATTTTTTTGAAAATTGCCAAATTCATTCCAAATGGTGGAGGGTATTCAAAGATCGGCCCAGCCGAACTTACAGCTTTTTTACTTGTTTGTACCCTTTTAATACGTACATATTTCAAAAAACCTCATTCAAATCCCTACACACTAACAGCCTAACCCTAATATCAATATCTAAACATTCTGGATCCAACCTAAACCAAAATTGAATCAAATTTAGTAGCATTTGGTACTGTTTTACACTTAGTACACAATTCCAAAACTACCGCCTCCTTCCCCAACATAGCTTATACACAGATGCCAAGATTTTAATTTTATCCTTTCGAATAATACAAAAGGTACTAAAATTTAGTACTTTTTACTACTTATAGTTTGAATTTGAAAAAAAAGAAAAACTTAGCTACATTTCTCCTATACCCCATCAGCCGTCATCATGCCAAATTTCTGAGTTCTAGCTCTATTCAACTTACCAATTTTTAGTACTTTTTGTACATTTTTAGTTCAAATATTTGAAAACCCAGCCTTATCTCACCCCCACACACTCACAAATATTGGCCTACATTCAACATTTTAGGAATAAACTTAAATTAAAGGGTCAAATATGAATATTTCGAGGTGTTGGAAACGGAGTGACAAATCTAATATGTCTCCAGAGGAATGAGAGAGGGTGCAAAAACATAATATTAATTTCAAAGCAAACAAACACACAATTCAAATCACAGCGTAACTTTATTATAAAATACAAAAAAACTTAAATATACAACTAATTTTCAACATAAACAAAACACACACATATTCACTTTTATTTTTGGAAAAAAAAACAACGCAATTTCTGATATTAATTTCATTTCTGTTGTAGCGAATCGGTTTTTTCTCTTTTCTACTTCCTCACTTGTTTGCAATTGCCCAACACATCCAATATAAACCCATGGCCACATTCCTGATCGGCTTTCAATTTTTCGGGATTTATCATTTCGACATTTTCCAAAACGAATTTCTTATCCTTATGTGGGACCAATTCGGCCGAGTCCTTGCTCAAATGATCCTTAAAATCGTGGAACTTGCTTTCGAATTTTGTGTGCAACTCTTTGGATTTTTCTGTGAGTTTTTTGAAACCATCTCGCACATCTTCGCCCAGCTGTTTGGTCTTCTCCTTGACGTTGTCACCAAAATCGCTGGCAGTTTTCTTAAATTTACAGCCCCATTCCTTGAAGACGCCCTTCACTTTGTCGCCGGTATCCTCGGAGCTGGCTATTTTGGGTCCAATGCCAGGTATCTCTGAGAGAGATGGCAATATCTTGTCATCACATTCAAATAAATCCGCTCTTACATTGAGGGCCGCCGACAGGACCAAGAGCAGTGTGATGGTAATCCATGAAAATGAGCGTTTCATTTTAACTTCAAAGAAAACTCAGGCGTTTAATTTGACTTAAATTTGAACACCAGCTATAAGGTTGTTGTTGAGCGGTATTAACTAATTTTTTGTTGTCTGCTTTGTGTGTGCGATTTCGTTGAGCTTTCGCGAAAAACTGATGTTCGTATGGTTGGCCTTAGTAGTTATCCGACCAATTTATTTATTTGAGAAATTCGTCTGGCTTTGTTATACGATTTACAGTTTTTTAATTGAATCAAAATTAAATGGCCTACCACTAATTCATCCTCTCACTCACTTCCGCCCAACTACTTGGGCTGATCAGCGTACATATGTTAGTATGTACGAGTATGTATGTAGTTATGCGTCATTTCTAGAGAAAGAAATTTGTTGTCGGCATCGTAGTTGCCGCCTCTTTGTATATTCATTGTTGTGGTTGCAAATTTCACAATTAGAATAACAGTGGAACCTTGGGCAAATGCCAGCCACTTCGTATGCGGAACAAGTAAAAAAAACTGTAAGTTCGGCCGGGCCGAAGTTTGAATACCCTACACCATTTGGAACGAATTTGGCAATTTTTCAAAAAAATAAAATCCGTTAAAAATTCCCGTAAAATCATAAGAAATACCGAATATAGCCGTATATTAAAGGTCTATACGACGACATGGACTTGCATAGGCAAAATCAATCAAAATACCGAATATAAGGAAGTACCATTATATCGTGGCTATATCAAAACGTGGGCCTGCACAGGCAGTTTTCTGTCATAGGCTGTAGTATCCTCTGCGAACTCTAAATCCCAAATTTGGGAAAATTCTGGTGAATAATGTCGCTAAAATCATGAAAATACCGAATATTGGGAGGTACCCTTATATTGGGGCTATACGAATACGCGGATCTGCACAGACAATTTTTTGTTTTAGGCTGTGGTATCCACTACGAACTTTAAATACCAAATTTGTAACATTTCCGTTGAATAATGTCGCTAAAATCACTAAAATACCGAAAATAGGGAGGTACCATTATATGGGGGCTATACCAAAACGTGGACCTACGTGGCCCATTTTCAATACGAGAAGTCCTGCAGACATCATATACATTTGAGTAAAATTTTATCCACCTACTTCATTTCGTTCGGAAGCTAGAGTGATTGCCACAGACGGACAGACAACGCTAAATCGACATGGAATTTTATGCTTATCAAGAATATATATATACTTTGTGGGGTCTAAAATGTATATATCGAGGTTTTACAAACGGAATGACAAACTTAATATACCCTCCATACTATGGTGGAGGGTATAAAAAGGACTTTATATTAAGTGAAGTTCTCTGTGATGTCTTTGTAGAGTATGGACATCCAAATTCACGTCCTTATCTAAATGCCACCCACTCACAGTGGTCTCTCTACCCAAATAACGGTTATAGACCCATGGTCTATTTGGACCAAATCCATTTCAGGACATTTGGAAACGATCTGGGGTTGTCCGTCAGTCTTTTTGGCTGAATGGTGCGCACGTTAACACATAGTGTTGTAAGGTGAAACAATGTTGCAAAATGGCCACTGTTCAGCCCTAAACTCTAGCGCCATGCTAAATTCCGTCGATGAGTCTATAATTGTAAAAAATTGGGAATTTTTTTGTTTTCGGTCCTTTTCATCCCCTGAATAACAATGGACTTTTATTCTGACCTTAACCCCACCTCCATGCTAAATTTTGTAAAGAGCGGTCCATAATTGCGACCTGTAGCGTGATTACAATTTATCGTGGACAGACAGACATACATAGCTAGATCGACCCAGTTTGAAGAGAATGAAAGATCCATATATAGTTTCGTACGTCTTGGATCGATATTTCGAGGTGTTGCATAATTGTTGACCCAATCAAAATTAGTGTTGTAGGTTAAAAATATAAAAGTATCAACATTACTTTGCTGATGTTTTAAAAAGGAACTAAGAGACGTCACTGATTAGCACTCTATACTTTTGTGGCAGATCCCACTGTACATGAATGCGAACTTTTATCGTAATTGAAAAAAAGTAAATATCTAGCATTGTTGTTTTTGTTACTATTCAGACTAGAGACTAGTTATGTTTCCAGAGATTGAATTACTTAAGAATATCAGTGTTTTCAATTGTTGGACAGTGGCATACTTGAGATAAGATTATTTGGTTCAAAATTTGGCGGAAATCATACCCGATGTCTTAATTGCGACCATTTTTCTTAAAAAATTGTAAATACATGTGGAATAAAATAAAACAAGTTAGAAAATATAAGTCGGTTTGCCGACACATGTATACCTTCAGTCAATGTTCGATTATTTAAATATATTTTGACTTCTGTTATAATTCTATGTAGTAGGTTCCGAAGGAATAGGCCAATATTATCCATTTCATATAAATATGATATAAATATTGCTACGTGTCAGGTTTGGACTATATTGGTTACTTCCTTCGCTTTATATGAGGTATGTGATAATTTTTAGAAAATGTTAAAAGTGTGCGTGAGGTGCAACATATAGTCGATCGAATTATTATCAAAAAATGCATTCCTATGTAGGGAGGTACCCGAAGGAATGGTCCTATCTCTACCATCCTTATAAAAGATCTGGAATGGAATCGGATGTTAAATTCACAAATATTCGGTATTTTGATGATTTGTTTCACAATTTTCAGCGGAATTGTTTCATATTTGCAATTTGAAGTCCCTAATTGGTACATCCGACATCCTATGACAAAAAATCGCTCATTTAGGTTCACGACTTCATATAGCCCCCATGTAAGGGTACCTCCCAATATTCAGCACTTTAATAATTTTAGCGACATTATTCAACGAAATTGTATGTATAGGTCCACGTTTAGGGCCGATATAACAGTGCCTAGTGATATTCGGTATTTTGATGGTTTTACTCACTTTATTTACGTATTTGAGATGAAAATGAGAATTTACCTATTAAATACCGAGTTGAAAGTTTTTTTAATTTATATCATTTTAAGACTATCACAACTCTTAAGTATGTCTCCAAATTCACTCTTAGACCCACTGTGCCACATATTTTCAACGGCGTAAACATTATTATGTAATATGTGTGTACACACACTTTAAGTTAGAATTGGAATTTTGCACATATAAACATTTATGGGGATAAATATTTAAAGCAACATTTTTAGTTTTGAATCTTTTGACATTTTCGATACCCGTATTTTTAATTAAACGCGCTGTGTGATGTTGAATCATTTCAAATGAATTTGTTTCCTTTAAATCGAAACAGGCAAAGACTCAAACAATGTTTTCTCAAACAATTTAAATTGAGGAAAACATTAAACGGTTAACGAAATCTCACAGGTATATTGAGTAGTAGTTTTCAGATGGATAAAAGACAAATTAGAAACGAAAATACCAATATGCTGGTAATGGGGAAACAAACCCATAGAAATATCTGATTAAATTTCTCCAAATGTCGAATATCGTGGGGGTAACATTATATAGATATGAGGTAATACGTAGACCAATATAGGCAAATTTCGACTGGTGGCAATTTTCTATGGCGGTTATATGCAATCGTAGACCCATTTGCAGAATTTTTCATCAGATTGACAAGTGCATATTAATAATTTAACACATAGGATTCCAGTCAAATACATTGAAAAAGATGGCTAAAATCAGCAAAATACCGAATATAGGGGGGTTCTGTTATATGGGGGTTACACGATATCGTGAACTTTATAGGCCATTCTCCTTCAAGGAGTAAGGTATATGAAACGAGCTTCATGTGCAAAATATCAAACAATTCCATTTAAAAATATGGCTTCAATCATCAAAATACCCAATACTAGAAGGTAACGTTATATGGGAATTTTACGATATCGTGGTCCGAATTTGATGGGCTATATCGCAGGCCAAAGACTGATCTATTGAAACTTTACTCTTCCTATCTTAATTGTGATTATCAGGTATGTCACAGAAGTTTTACGAAATCGATTTATTTCACCTTTTCCAAATCGTTACGATTTGCTTTTGCTTCTTCAGCACTCGTACGTTTTGGCTAATCCGGAAAAAAAATCATTTCACATTTTTGAAATAAAAATATGGTAACTCTATGAAAAAAAGTCGTAAACAAATTATTGACAATTAAAAAAGGAGTTTAAATTGTTTTTTATAATATAAACACCAAAAGTAAAAATGCCAGGGGCTTCAATACTTGCTGTAATGGATGAAGAAATAAATCAGCGGTCTACTGAAAAAAATCGTCGACGGACATTGAGGAACGCATCAGATCCTTTATCTCACTCAAATGCAGAGTAAGGATCCACCAGCAATGAGTTATTTTCAAATTTATTTTAATAATAATTTATTTCTACAGATTTATAACTTATTATCGGCTAAATAAAGAAGCTTTTGTTTTAGTTTTGGAAAAAATTTCTCCCCACCTCAAACGTTCCAATATACCGGCTATTATCCAGCTTGCAACAACGCTTAGGTTTTTGGCTACGGGTGCATTTCAAGGAGTTATAGGTAGAGATGTGGAGCTAAGCCTTGGGAGAAGTACAGTTTCTACAATTATGTGGAGAGTTATTAATGCAATTGAAGCTGAAATTTGGCCACATTGGATCAAATTAAGAATGTCTTCCGAAGAAAAAAGAAAGTCGAAATTGTACTTTTTTGCTTTTTGGTCTGTCAGTTGTACATTTCTACACCTTCTTCTTCAACACATATGGCAATAATTCAACAATACAAGTCTGCCGTTCATTTCTGCATATTTTTTTGCGTTTTCATCATGGATTAGAAAAATAATAGATTTTTTGTAAAATAAATACCAAAAGCATGTTCATTCTAAGAGAATTTGGTTAATACAATATTTTCTGTTAAATGTATGTGTCTTCTGTTTATTTTTTACGTTAAAATCACTAAACATTTCAATTTCACCCTGCTTTTTGAAAGTGATATCAAAACGCAAAATTTTTGCGTTTTCCGTTTTTTAGAGAAGCTAAAACCGTTTTCGTTTTCACTCTTGAACGATTTTACATTCTGTGACATGCCTGTATAACTGACAGACAGATAGGCGGACGGACTGGACTAAATCTGGCTTTGTACAGGGTGAGATAAAAAACTGCAACAAAGTCAAAGACCATAATTTTTACATTTTTTTAAATTTTATTGAATGAAAGCAAAAAATGTCGGAAATAGAATAAGTTTATATTCGTTCGAATTGGTCACCTTTGTCACGAATTGTGACCCTCAAATGGCCAATGAAACCGTCACATGCTGTCCTACTGTTTCTCTGCGGTATTTTGGCCCATTCCCGGCGAAGCGCTTGCTTGAGGTGATCGACACTTTTGTATTTTTTAGTGCCAACCTTGCTTTTGAAAATACTCCAAAAACAAAAGTCCAACGGATTGGTATCCGGAGATTATGGTGACCATTATGCGATGGAAATGAAGCGAGGAAACTTATTTTGTAATCATTCTTGGGTGGCGCGAGCTGAGTGCGATGATGATGAGTCCTTTTGGAATGTCCAAGTTCTGCAGCCAAAATGTTTGGGTGCCCAAGGCTTTAGTAGACCCTCCGAAATATTTTCGCGATAAAATTCGGCATTTATTCTGATGACACGGTCGATTTATACGACCGGATAGCGACCATCGGCTGTTATGGCGGCCTAAACCATCACCATGGCCGGCGCTTGAGTTTTGGTGGCCAACCGAAGGTGCACATTTTCAGCTGACCTCTTTGGGAAGTAAACACGATCATTTTGTTTGTTTACAAACTGCTGGACAACGAATGTTTTCTCATCGGAGAAAACTAAATTCGGCAGTTCCCCACTTTCGTCCAAGCGAAGCAACTCTTTAGCTCTTTTGAGTCTATTTTGTTTCGGTCACGGTGTAAGTTCTTGCACTTTTTGGAATTTCAATGGCTCTACCCCGAGCTCAATGGCTTTACCCCGATATGTTCAGCTCATGAGCCATTTTTACCCACTGCGACGCGGGTTTCGATCAAGTCGCTTCTTTACTTTTCGAACTATTTCTGCTGATGTTGCTGTTTTCTTCCGTCCACTTCCCTGACGTCGGGCTACGCTACCAGTATCACGGTAACGAGCGATAGTACGAGACACCAAAGATTTATTCCAGCCAAATATAAATAAAGCACACTATCACGCTTGTATTCCATCACGAAAAACTTTTTTTCTGGAAAATTCGCAGCAAAATGCTTTTGTACGCTTGTAAGCAATATAATGAGCTGTCACTGGAATAATTTTAACAGCTGTTGGACGAGTGGCTTAGAAATGACAGCAGTCTGAAATTGGTTGCTGTTTTTCATTTCACACTGATCAGCCTGAAATTCTATGTCGATTTAGCGATGTCTGTCCGTCTGTTCGTATATCCGTCTGTGGAAATCACTCGAGATTCCGAACAAAATGAAGTAGTTTGAAAAAATTTTACTCGAATGTATAGTATGTCTACAGGACTTTTGGTATTGATTCGTAAGTATTGATTCCCTATTTTCGGTATTTTGGTGATTTAAACGACATTATTTATCGGAAATGTTTCAAATTTGGTGTTTGAAGTTCGCAATGGATTCTACTGCCTATGACAGAAAATTGTCTATGCAGGTTCACGTCTTCGTATAGTCCCCATTTATCGGTATCTCGCCATATTCGATATTTTGATGATTTTAGCGACATTATTCACCGGAAATATTTCAAATTTGGTATTTGAAGTTTGCAACGGATACCACAGCCTAAGACAGAAAATTGTCTGTGAAAGTCCAAGTTTTTGTATAGCCCCCATATAAAGGTACCTCATGATATTCGGCATGTTGATGATTGATTTTAGCCCAGCCTGTCCATCCGTCTGTTGTAATCACGCTAGACTCAAAACGAATGAAGGTAGGAAGCTAAAATTTTAAACCGATCTGTCTTTTGTCTGCAGGCAGGTCAAGTTCGAAGATGGGCTATATAGCTCCATTATGTTGTATAACTCCCATATAACTGTACTTCCCGACATTCGGTATTTTGATTATTTTAGTCACATTTTTCAATTGCATTGTATTAAAATCCACCGAAGGAGTTCCGCCTGAGTGCATTAACAACTGCAAAAGAATTGTCTATATAGGTCCACGATATCGTATATCCCTTATTAAACGGTTCCTTCCGATATTCCATATTTTGATAACTGTAGCCACATTTTTCAATGAAATTGTCTGAAAATCCCTCTGAGCACTTTACCCTCTGGAAGAGAATTTTCTGTATAGGGCCACATTTTAGTATAGCACCCATATAAGGTGTTTTGATGATATTACCGACATTATTCACCAACATTCTTTCAAATTTCGTATTTGAATTTCTGAATCGTTACTACAGGCTATGGCAAAAAATTACTTTTCCAGCACCACGTCTTCGTGTAGCCCCTATAAAAGGTTTTCATTTGTGAGATATTTTACGACTATTTTTTTTTTTTTTTTTAAATTTTTTAACTTTCTTCCGAATGGTGGAGGGAACTTAGCTGTGTTTTTGCTTGTTTTTTTTCCTACAAACTTTTGGCTGAGATACAAAAAGAAAACACACACACACAAATTTTTGTTTTTATTGATACGATTTTTTTTGAACATCTGTCTGTCATAAGTGATTTATTGTAAGAAATGAACAACTGCAGCTTTTGTAAGATACGCAGTATTTATTTTGTATGAAAATTAAAAGTTTTAATCCCTTTTTTTCTCAGAAAAGCTCCTAAAACAATTTAAAAGGATTGAAAACGGATGCCGTTGTGGTCTCCTCTTTAACTGTTTCCTCTTCCAAGTTGTAGTCTTTTTCATTGGAATACGGCATGAAATCAGTTTCAACATCTTTCTTATCATAGTCTTCGTCTTCGTTATTTTCCTCGTCATCAGTGCCATCATCGAAACCATTGTTTCCCCAGTTGTCTTCTGTTTGCGGTTGATGAGGATCTTCGCCATTATCATCATTTTCCTCGTCCTCAGTGCCATTATCGAAACCATTATTTCCCCTGTCGTCTTCGGTTTGCGGTTGATGAGAATCGTCATCATTTGCTTCGTCAAAGATTTCATTGAGGTCAGGATTTCCCCAGTTGTCTTCATTTTGGTCGTCGTCAGTTTCCACGTCAGCAAAATCATCATCGATATCATTATTTGAAGATGGAGTTGTAGATGAAGTTGTGGTTGGAGTTGTAGATGGAGTTGTAGATGGAGTTGTAGATGGAGTTGTAGATGGAGTTGTAGATTGAGTTGTAGATGGAGTTGCAGTTGGAGTTGTAGATGTAGTTGTATATGAAGTTGCCCGGGGCGTTGTGGTTTTTACTTTATTGGCACGACGATCCTCCCAGTATTGTACACCTTTAAAAAAATAAATAAACCAGGCACCACAATCAGAAAAAAGCATCCAAGTTCGACCGAGCCGAACAATACCCTCAACCATTTCGAAGGAATTTGAAAAAGAAGGTCCATAGTCCCAAATAACTGTAGCCGCTGATTTTTTTCTTTTTTGGCTCCCAATTTTAAGCCGAGTTTGCTGTATGTTCCCAGTACATACGTAGGAAACATCCTTGCAGATGCTGGTATTAAAATTTGGTATTTGGAGTCCATTATGGGTACTACCGCCCTCAACATTTCCGATTCAATTTCTAGTCTTCGGTATTAGAACATATAACGGTAGTATGTCTTTGGGCATTTGTTAGTAACATTGGCCAAAGGACGAACCCTATTGAAATTGGTGGTATATTGTGCACCAAATGGACTGAATTTTGGTACAAACGATCGGATTCAGTCTAGAAGCAAGTACATTAAATTTGGAGAAAATCGGGTCAGATATAATTGCAGCTGCCATATGTATTTTGCAACCGATTTGGTGTTTAAGTCCCTCACGTTCGTAAAATGCACCCCACAAGAATGATATTGGGTACCAGATATCAGATATAGCTCAGAAATACTTCTGCCAAATTGTACCAAGATCGATTCAGATTTAGATATCGCTTCCATATATATATCCAAATGAACTGCATTTTGGCACTTCTCACGGAATCAGCCTAGAAGCAAGTACATCAAATTTTGAAAATCGGTTGAGATATAGATATAGCTCCCATATATATGTTTCTTCCGATTTGGGGGTTTAAGTCCCTCACATGAGTTATATGCAGTCCACAACAATGATTTTTAATTCCAAATATCAGATACAGCTTAGAAATGAGTGCCTAAATTTTTTCAAGATCGGTTCAGATTTGGATTTAGACCTCTCATATATCTTTAACCGATTTCGGGTTAATTGTGCATCAATGGGCCAATATCAGTCCAAATGGCCTGAATTTTGGCGCATCCGATTGAATTCAGTCTAGAAGCAAGTACATTACATTTGGTGAAAATTGGTTCAGATATAGCTATACCTCCCACATACATGTTTCATCCGATTTGGTGATAAAGTCCCACACATGCACAATATGCACTCCACAAAAAAAAAAAAAATATTTCATACCGGACATCAGCTACAGCTTGAAAATATATTTGTAAAACTTTATGGAGATCGGTTCAGATTCATATTCTTCATACGATTTAAAGGTTACTGTCCACCATATAGGGTGAGAAGAAAAATTTGCAACCAACTTCAGACTGCTGTTATTTCTAAGCTACTCATCATAAAGCTGTCAAAATTATTTCAGAGATAGCTTCTTACATTGTCTACAAGCCTACAAAGCATTTTGGTGCGAATTTTCCAGAAAAAAAGTTATTCGTGATGGAATTCAAGCGTGATAGTGTGATTTCTTTATATTTGGCTGGAAAACCACAATTGATTTATCGTGAATAAATCCTTTGTGTTTCGTACCATCGCTCGTTACCCTTATACTGGTAGGGTAGCCCGACGTCAAGGAAGTGGGCGGAAGACAACAGCAACATCAGCAGAAATGGTTCGAAAAGTAAAGAAGCGACTTGATCGAAACCCGCGAAGCAGTGGCCAAAAAATGGCTCGTGAGCTGAACATGTGGCAATATTCCATTCGGCAAATATTAAAAAATGAGCTCGGGGTAAAGCCATTTAAATTCCAAAAGGTGCAAGAACTTACACCGCAACAGAAAGAAAATAGACTCAAAAGAGTTAACGAGTTGCTTCGCTTGGTCGAAAGTGGTGAACTGCCGAATTTGGTTTTCACCGATGAGAAAACATTTGTCCAGCAGTTTGTAAACAAACAAAATGATCGTGTTTACTAGGCATAGAGGTCGGCTGAAAATGTTCACCTTCGGTTGGCCACCAGAACTCAAGCGCTAATCATGGTGCCTTAACAGCCGATGATGGCTCTCCGCTCGTATTAATCGACCGAACTATGTCGCGAAAATATTCTGGAGGGAGTATTAAAGCCTTGGGCATGCAAACATTTTGTCCGCAGACCTTGGACGTTCAACAGAACTCAGCACCATTGCTGAGTTACAAAATGAGGTTCCTCGCTTCATTTCCAGCGCACAATCTCCACCACCAAAATCTCCGGTTATCAAACCGTTGGACTATTGTGTCTGGAGTATTTTGGAAAGCAAGATTGGCACTAAAAAATACCAAAGTGTCGATCACCTCAAACAAGCGCTTCGCCGGGAATGTGCCAAAATATCGCAAAGTAACATTCGGGCAGCGTGTGACGGTTTCGTTGTCCATTTGAAGGCCATAATTCGTGCCAAAGGTGACCAATTTGAACAAATCTAAACTTATTCTAAAATTTGATGCTATTTCCGACATTTTTTTCTTTCGTTCAATAAAATTTAGAAACAAATGTAAAAATTATCGCGATTTGTTGCAGTTTTTTTGTCTCACCCTGTATATGAGATCTATGGCTATATCTGAATCGATTTTCACCAAAATTTGTAGTAATTGCTTTTGAGCTGAATTCCGTTGGAAGTGCCGAAGGGCTGATATTAGCCATTTGGTGCGCAATAAACCTGATAACGGATAAAGATATATATGGGAGCTATATCCAAATCCGAACCCATCTAGACAAAACCAGAAAAACTTATTTCTGAGCTGTATCTGATATCTGGACCCAAGAATTTTTTTGTGGAGTGCATATAGTGCATGTGAGGGACTTTAACACCAATTCGGATAAAACATGTTTGTGGTAGCTGCAGCTATATCTAAACCGATTTACACCACATTTGATGTATTTGCTTTTAGAGTGAATTCGTTTGGATGTGCCAAAATTCAGGTAATTTGCATTTATATTGACCATTTGGTGCCTAATTAATCCGAAATCGGTTGCTCTCATTCAATAAAATTAAAAAGTGTAAAAATTATGGCGTTCTGAAGCCATGATACCCATTCAAATATGGTTCATAGTTTGTAATATATAATAAATACCCCATGTCATTTTTTTGTTGCGGGAGCTCTACTTTAAAGGCATGGTGGTCTAGGGCATTATGTGTAGGCCCCGCCCGATTTTTGACTTTTATTACTGTTTTTTTTTTTTCGTTTTGAAAAACATTTATATAGCTCTTAAGAAATCACCCCCGAGCTACACACCCTCAAAATTGTTCACTACTTCGTAGTTTGGTGCCTTGAATGCTTGTTTTTTCCATTCATTAATGCGGATACTTATACTTACATTCTTCCAACTCACGATGAAAATCGCAAAATATAAACCGATCTAACTCCTCGTCTGACATGCGGTACGGTGTGGCTGGTGGTCTGCGTTGGGTTTCGAATATTTCATAAACTTCCACCTGTTTTCTGCCCTGGATTGGTTTTCGGCGTATAAATCGGCGATATAAAATTGGTACATTTGGATCACCATCTTCCGTAGCTCTACCTTGACCCCATGTGGGCATTCCATCGACATGGGCAAGAGTGAAAGTGAAAAAATACACCACCACTAAACTGATTGATAATACAGACAGAGATGCGTTCATGGCGATTGCGATTTACGAAATGAAATGAAATTGATATTCGCATTTTAATAGAATATTTTTATTTAGAAGAAAAAAGCATTGCAAATGTATGTGTGTGTATGTATGTTTTGCTGATAATTTTAATTAAGTTCTTGATCTTCATGGATCTTCATTTAATCTCAATTTTCATTATAATATACACTCAATTTTATAGCATACTTTAGGGGATAAGTGTGTTAAATTGTTTGTTATTACGACAGGGTGTAATGTAAATTTCTAATTCATATTTATATCACCTTGTCAATTCACTAGTAACTCCTCGAAATAATCACCTTAGTCCCTATAACGTATACATACTCTTGATTAGCGTAAAATAGTAAATCGTACGCCTGTCTGTCCATCTATCTATCGTACGAATTGAGATAGAAGAGCAAACATTTGTTCAGCTTCGTATAAGTCCGTTACATTCTGACTGCATATTTTTTAAAGGAATTGTTTGAAATATGGTATTTGGAATTCGTAATGGGTTCTACCTCCTGAGGGAGAAAATTGTCTCATGAGATCCAAGGTTTCCCAGGGCCTCCATGTAACGATACCAAGGGATTTCCGTTATTTTGATGATTATATCCAAATTTTCCCATGTAATTCTTTCCCGTTGAGTATATATAGTTTGCAATGGGTTCTAACTTCAGTGGAGGAAAATTGTGTATATAGGTCCATGTTTATACCCTCAGACATATGGCATATACAAGGTGAGATGAAAAAACTGCAACTAACTTCAAACTGCTGTCACTTCTAAGCCACTCGTCCGACAGCTGTTAAAATTATTCCAGTGACAGCTCATTATATTCTTTACAAGCGTACTGAAGCATTTTGGTGAGAATTTTCCAGAAAAAAAGTTAATGGTGATGGAATTCAAGCGTGATAGTGTGATTTTTTTATATTTGACTGAAAACCCACAAGTGGGTACTCTAGAATTTAAATGTGAATAAATCTTTTGCGTCTCGTACCATCGCTCGTTACCGTGATACTGGTAGCGCAGCCCGACGTCAAGGAAGTGGACGGAAGAAAACACCAACATCAGCAGAAATCGATCGAAAAGTAAAGAAGCGACTTGATCCCCGCGTCGCTGTAGCAGACAAAATGGCTTGTGAGCTGAATATTTCATTCGGCAAATATTGAAAAATGAGCTCGGGGTAAAGACCTTGAAATTCCAAAACGTGCAAGAACTTACACCCCAACAGAAAGAAAATAGACTCAAAAGAGCTAAGGAGTTGCTTCGCTTGGTCGAAAATGGTGAACTGCTGAATTTTGTTTTCGCCGATGAGAAAGCATTCGTTGTCCAGCAATTTGTAAAAAAAAAAAACAAAATGATCCTGTTTACTTGCCAAAGAGATAAGCTAAAAATGTGCACCTTCGGTTTGCCACCAAAACTCAAGTGCTTGCCATGGTAATGGTGTGGGCCGCCCGAATTAATCTACCGTGGCATCAGAATAAATACCGAATATTGTCGCGAACACATTTTGGCCGCAGACCTTGGACATTCCAACAGGACTCAGCACCATCGCACTCTACACGCGCCACCCAAGAATGGTTGCAAAATGAGGTTCCTCGCGACATTTCCAGCGCACAATGGCCACCTAATCCTCCGGATACCAATCCGTTGGACTATTATGTCTGGAGTATTTTGGAAAGCAAGGTTGGCACTAAAAAATACCAAAGTGTCGATCACCTCAAGCAAGCGCTTTGCCGGGGATGGGCCGCAGAGCAACATTCGGGCAGCGTGTGACGGTTACATTAGCCGTTTGAAGGCCATAATTCGTGCTAAAGGTGACTAATTCGAACAAATCTAAACTTATTCAAAAATTTGATGATATATCCGATATTTGTTGCTTTCATTCAATAATTTTTTTAAAAAAAAATGTACAAATTATGGCGTTTGGCTTTGTTGCAGTTATTTATTTCACCCTGTATGTATATATCATTTACCTTATATAACATGAAAGATCTTCAAATCTTATTCAAATTTTGCAAATCCTTATATTTGTATTAGTTCTAGGTCGGGTGCAAAAATATCTAATATTGGCCCTCTTCTTCTGGTACCTCCCCCACAAGGGGTGAACACTTTGAATAATAATAACTCTAATAAAATGTAAAATATAAGGCATATTGTTTTCAGGTTTCGCACGTCCAAATATTTCTACCAATACAAGCTTGGGTGTAAAGACGGATTTTATCGGACCAATCCCCCACAACGAGTCATTTCGAATAATTACATATTTCTTAATATGCGAAATAAGCAGCCGGTTCGTTTTAAACTTCGGGTAGGTTCCAGAAGGATCGGACCGATGTCTACAATCTTCGCAAAAGATCTTGTGGTGATAGAAATATTGAAATGTGTCGAGTTTGTAAAGAAATCGGATGCTGTTGCGTTCTACGATTTTCATAGCTATTTAAAATTTTGAACCGATGTACTAGAAGTGGTGATCCGTTATATTGGTTCTTTATACCAAATATAGTATTGGTGGAAATATTAAGATGTGCGAAATTTGAAGACCACCGGACATTTTAATAGAGTTATAATTGTTCCAAGTTTTGACCCTTTGTGGAAAGTTACCAGAAGGAGTGAGTCGATACATCGCACCTTCACACCAAATCTTGTGTTAGAAAAAAATATTCAGATTTATGAAATTTGAAGAGAATTGGATGGTTACTTCGTGTTTCATTAGTATTCAAAATTTTGACCCGTTGTGGGTGTGGTACCAGAAGCAGTGATGCGACCTATCTCATCTACATACCAGCCCTAGGATTGTTAAAATTATGGATGCTTATATTGCATTTTATAAGCAATGAGGTTATTCACGGTGTTGATCCTTTGTGTGGATGGTACTAGAAAGAGTCGGCCTGTATTATCCATTTTTACACCTGGCCTAGCGCAGATAAAATTTTAGAATTTGCAAAGTTTAAACAAAATCGGTTGATCATTTCTTGTTCTGTGAGGTAAATAATTTTCTTTCAAAATTCCGTCCTTTTGTGGAGGAGGTACCAGAAGGAGTGGACCGATATTGTCCATCTTCGTACTCGATCTAAGTATAACAAGTAAAAAAACATTAAGTTCGGCCGGGCCAAACTTTTAATACCCTCCACCTTAGGGTAAAGGAAACATTAGAGCCCATTATGACCTACATGTACCAATTTTTAGACATATTTATGGGAAAATGTGCCAAAAATCATCAAAATTCCGAATATCGAGAAATACGGCTATATGGAGCTATACAAAAACGTGGACCTATACATACAGTGTTGCGCAAAAGAGCTAGAACCCATTAAGACCAACAAATACCAATTTCTAGACAAATCCGCGAAGAAATGTGTCAAAAACCATTAAAATACCGAATATCGAGAGGTACCGTTATATGGGGGCTATACCAAATCGTGGACCTATACATGCAATGTTTGCCAAAGGATATAGAACCCATTATGTCCTACAAATGCCAATTTTCAAACAAATCCGTGAAAAAATGTGACAAAAATCAACAAAATACCGAATATTGGGAGGTACCGTTATATGGGGACTATACCAAAACGTGGACCTATAATTACAATGAGTCGCCATACGAACTGGGACCCATTATGACCTACAACTACCAATTTTCAGAGAAATTCGTGAAAAAATGTGTCAAAAATCATCAAAATACCGAATATCGGGAGTTACCATTATATGGGGGCTATACCAAAACGTGGACCCATACATGCAATGTTTCGCCATCAGAGCTGGAATCCATTGTGACCTACAAATACCAATTTCGGGAGCTACCGTTATATGGGGACTATACCAAACCGTGAACCGATATATATCATTTTCAATACCAACCATCCTAGACACAATACAAATTGCTCTGCTAAATTTTGGCGCTCTACGTCAAATAATGTGGGCTGTATCGTGATTTCAACAGACAGATAGACGGATATCGTTAAATCGACTTAGAATTTTATGCTGATTATAAATATATGTATATATACTTTATGGGGTCTACGACGAATATTTAAGGATGTTACAAACGGAATGACAAAGTTAATATACCCTCCTTTCCAAGGTGGAGGGTATAAAAATAATATTACGATGTAACAAGTTTGAATCAAATATGATGCTCCCTTCGAGAGTTATCGTGCGCATCAGCCAGTCAGACAGACGGACGGACGGACGAACATCGTTAAATCTACTCCAAACGGCCTGAAACGGATTTGGTCCAAAGAGACCTAGGGTCTAAAACCGTTACTTTGACTAGGAACGTTTTGGCCGTATCAAATTATAAATACCCTGACTAGCCATATGGCTGACCAAGACTATCTATAATAATGACAAAGACTATCTGAGGATCTAACCATTAAAAATGTTCTCTAACACTTTCATTGACAATGAAATTGCCTCGTTCAATAAAAAAGTGGCAATAACAACAAAAAAGAACATCAACCAAAAAAAAAGCAAAACAAATGACTTCAAGTCTAAGGCTTTGTCGATATAGCAAAACAATGTAGATGGTTAACAAAATAAAGTGACGAATGTTCTGTGAAAGAGTAGTCTTCGGCAGCACATTACCATACATACATACATACATACGCAGACATATTCAAGAGATTTGAAATTATCTCAGTGATGGACATTTGAAGTGATTCATTTCATTTTATAGTGACTTTGTGTGAAATGCAAAGCAAGAAATTATAGATATAGCTAGATATTTATAGGAATCTATTATAAATGAAAATTCAACAAATAAATTTTAAATTTATTTTCGTTTCGTGTTTTCTGTTGTTGTTTATTTATAACTTGTGGGAAAATATATTGTTTTGCTTTCTCACAGCTAGCCAAGAAACATAATTCAAACAAATAAAAAGAAAAAAAATTTAGGATTAGTGATATATAATACATACATATGCGAATGACTAGTTAGCATATACATGCTTATTAACTGAAAACGTCTTCTATAGCTGGTGGATATTCCAACTTGCTTTTGTCCCAAAAGTTAGTAACACATCAATTTTTTTGGCAGTTCAACTTTCAATAAGTAGTCACTTACTGTTTTTTTTTTCTTATCGGAAAATTACTTTTTAAATCCTAATATTTTTATGAGTGCTTGGTCTGGTGCGAATATAAATAATATGGGCCCACTCTATATAGTACCTCCCCCACAAAGGGTCATAAAATAAGTATCTGATTTCTTTCAAACTCGGCACATCCCAATACTTCTGGTTTGAAGGGTGTAATTGGACATTCCAACAGGACTCAGCACCATCGCACTCAGCACGCGCCACCCAAGAATGGATACAAAATGAGGTTCCCACAATGACCACCAAAATCTCGGCTGGATATTCCAACTTGCTTTTATTTTAGCAAAAAGTTGCTAACACATAAATTTTTTGGCAGTTCTCTTTTCAATAAGAAGTCACATTTTTTTTATCGAAAAATAACTTTTCAAATCCTAATATTTTATGAGTGCTAAGTCTGGTGCGAAAATATATAATATTGACCCACTGTATCGAGTACCTCCCCCACAAAGGTCCAAAATTTGGTATATTTAAAACTCTCATAAAATGCGAAATAACTGTCAGATTCCTTTCAAACACAACAAATCACAATACTTCTATCCAAACAAGTTTCTAATATGAAGATGAGATATATCGGCCCACATATTCTGAGTCATAAGCTATCATATCATATAATTTGATAGGTCTACTTAAACCAAATCAGTTTCAAGACATTTGGAGTTGATCTAGCAATGACCGTCCATCCGATGTGGTCCAAACTTGGTACATCGTAATATATTACATCAAACTTAAATCGAGTTCGGAGATGGTATCGGTCCACTTCCGCTTTCGTTCCATCTTTGACACATCTCTATATTTCTACCAACACAATACCATTTTTTTAAAGATGGTAGAGATCGAACAATTCCCCACCTAAGTTTCAAGATTTTGTAAATTTTCGTTAAATCTCACACAGAAAACATTTTTGCTAACACCTGTTGTGCATATCTGCAAAACCCCTTCCGTTACCTCACCCACAAAGGGTCACAATTTTCAATACTTTTATCTGTCATAACTTGACAAAAAAAATTGTGTATGCAGGTCCACGTCCCCCCTATGGCGGTTTCAATTAAACGGTATTTTTAAGTTTAAAAGCTAAGTCCGGCCGAACTAACGTGCCTTTTTACTCGTTAAACCTTGTTTTATTTCGGGGACGTACTAGTGGGGGAAATCTCAATGTCATTAATTTTTATCAATAATATATTCGGAACTACAAGAGATATCAACACATTTGACAAATTTTTGGAAAGGCAAGAGTATAATGTCTATATCGGGTCGAAAAACCGGATATTTCCTCCTCAAAAAATGTACTCCGCCGTAATAAGATTAAAAATACCTACCCCATAATGGGGTTTATGTCCGCAATCATTGTTGGATGGGTACAACCGCTAACCACTAGTTGGATAGGTATTTCCATTAATGATACCCATTCGCATATCAGCTTTCTAGAACCGAATAAAAACCGGATTTTGTATCCGAACTTTCTGGTTGAATAATAACATTTTCCCCACAAAAAAATGACTCTTCCATAATCAGGTTGAAAATTCCTACCCCATAATATCCGCAATCGTTTTGGACATAATCCCCACTATTAGGGAGGTTATGCTCTCTACTTTCTGGGGATTGTGACCGATTTTTTTCGGGCATAAGCCTTATTCATTATGGGGGTTATGACCAAAAAAAGTCATAATCCCCATAATTTTAATGGGGATTAAGCCCGGGGAGATTATGTCCGCATCGTAATATAGGGACTATTATATATAGCTAATATAACCTATTTTCAATATCAATATTCTTGCCATAAAACAAATATTCTGGTATACCAACTGTCTTAATCATTACTTTACATCAAAATGAAATCAAATATGTTAAAATATATCGGGAACATTGACTATATTTTCGGTTTCTTTTTTATTGTTCTTTTTTTACTTTTTTATTTACAATCTTTTAGTTTTATGCAGGTATTTACATTACAGATCATGTCGATATGTTTTTCTTTATCTAATTTTACCATTACGTTGATGTCCTACAGAGGAAATACTCGTATTAAGATCTAAATATGAAAGAAAGAATACAAAAATTATATTAGTATTAATCTATACAAATACATGGTGTCAATATATGGGGGGAATTCCAAGTGAAATCGGACAAATTTTTGATTTCATTTATTTGTTGGCTTAATTGAAGCTCTTATCCAACAGAACATTTTAGCATATTTAACCAGATGGATAAGGTGATATTTTAATATTAGCCAAAAAGGTCTTTTTTGTTCTATCTATCCACAAAAAATATGTATATATAAAAAATATGCACAGAGGGCTTTACTGCCATTTTCAAAATTTAAAATAAATGTTTTAACATTGGAATTTCTTAAAAATTAATTATTTTTTAAGTTCAATAACAAAATAAGTCCTGTCATTATGGGATACAAGGAAATGCAATAATTTGAATTTATGAAAATCTGTTCATATTTTATCACTGTGCACAATTGACTAGTTTATTAAAGGTTCAATTAGACGTGGCATACAATATTGCCGTAGCCATAACCAGCCCTATAACCGTACCCACATTTAATATTTTCGATTAGCGGTGGCATAATCATAAAATGATGTATTTTACATATTTATTTATATTCCAAAAAATATTCAAATATTCATATTTTTCGCCCTCGCTCAAAGAAAGCGAAATAAGCATCCAACTCTCTTCAAATTTCAAACATACAAACATTTTTTCTAACACAAGGTCTGTGGTGAAGATGATAACACCTTCTGTTACCTCACCCATAAATGATCACATTTTGTGTCATAACTTGCGAAACAAGTCAGCGATTCTTTACCAGAAACCTGGGATGAATATGGAATTTATGGTTTCCCACAAAATTTTATATAAGTGTTAGATTTTCTTGACATTTTGCCGATTCGCGAGGGCGAAAAATATAAATTAATAAGTTAAAGCGTATCAGTCGGTTTTGCCGACAGATATATACCCTCACCCAATGTTCGATTATTTAAATATATATTGACTTCTGTTATGATTATTCAAATTGTTGACCCTCTATGTAGTAGGATCCGAAGGAATGGTCCAATATTGTCCATTTCGTATCAGACCTAAATAAATATGTTATAAATCTTTCAACTTGCCAGGTTTGGACTATATCGACCGCTTTCTTCATTATATTCGAGATATGAGATAAATTTTAGAAAATTTTAAAATGTGCGTGATGTACTGATATAATCGACCGAAGAAATCCATTTTCACACTTCATCTAATAAAGATACAAATATTGGAATCGGCAAAATGTCAAGAAAATCTAACACTTATATACAATTTTGTGGGAAACCATAAATTCCATATTCATCCCAGGTTTCTGGTAAAGAATCGCTGATTTGTTTCGCAAGTTATGACACATTGAAACTGTGATCATTTATGGGTGAGGTAACAGAAGGTGTTATCATCTTCACCACAGACCTTGTGTTAGAAAAAATGTTTGTATGTTTGAAATTTGAAGAGAGTTGGACGCTTATTTCGCTTTCTTTGAGCGTTTTGTTTATCCAAAACTTTGACCCTTTGTGGAGGAGGTACCAAAAGAAATGGTCCGATCTCTACCATATTCATAACAGATCCTGTGCTGATAGAAATATTTAGATGTACCAAGTCTGAATAAAAACGTTTTATGAGCTTCACAGATATTCAAAATGTTGACCTTTTTTGGGTGGGGTACCAGAATGAGTGGACCGATATATTTCATTTTCAAACCAAATTTTGGGTTAATACAAATGTTGTGAAGTGTGTAATTTGAAGACAATCGGTCTTCTTATTCTGGTTATAACTATTCAAAAAATTGACCCTATGTGGTGGAGGTACTTGACAGAATGGACCAATATTGTCCATATTAGGATTAGCAAAGTTTTCGGATCATCCTTTCTTTTCTGTGCAGTAAAATATTTTTTTTTTTAAATTTCAACCTTTTGTTGGGGATTTACCAGAAGGAGCGTACCCCATCCAATTCTTACACCCGACCTTGGGTTAATAAGGAATTTGTGATATGTGTAATTTAAAGACAATCCGACTCTGATATATCATTTTATAAGAGTTATAATCATTTAAAATTTTGACTTTACGTGGCGGAGGTAATTACTTGATGGAGTCAACCTATATTGTCCATTTTTGTTTTTATTTAATTGATTTTTTTTTTTTAATTTTCCACCTTTTTTGGGGCTGAGAGTAACAGAAGGAGTGGGCCGATATTGCCCATCTCCGAACTCGACTTAAGTTATATAATAATACTACGTTGTACCAGGTTAAGACCAAATCGGATACTCCCTTCGAGAGTTATCGTGGGCACCAGCCAGTCGGATAGAGAGACGGACGAACGGACATCGCTAAATCAATTCCTGGAATGGATTTGGTCCAAAGAGACCGAGGTTTTAAAACCATTATTTCGGTGAGGCATGTTTAGCCCGTATCAAATGTTATATGCCCTCTCTAGCCATATGACTGTGGATATAAAACTGATGAATAAATATACAATAATACGTTGTTATGTTATGGTTATGGCAAAAACACAAAATTCACTTCGTATCTACGGTTAGGGTTATGGGTATGGCGTTATGATATGTAATAAATAAACCATATGATTGGTTTGAACAACTGTTTTATATGGTTATGGCAGGTCTAACTGAACCTATAATAAAGAACAATCAGTGGTTTTGTTATGGTTACGGCAAAAACTCAAAATTTAATTGGTATCTACGGTTAGAGTTATGGCTATGGCGATGTGATAAGATTGATTTAAAAAGCTGATTTATATGGTTATGGTTATGGCAGGTCTAACTGAATCTTAAGAAGTACAAAAATACATTTTTAATATTTGTTTTTTGTTGTTGTCATTTTTTTAATTTTAAAAATTTTCATTTCGATTTCGCTTGGAATTCCTTGGAATGTATGTATGTATGTGTGTGGTGGACAGTTACAACTCACCTTTGGTTTCGTTACGTTTGTAACGACGATGATGGACACAGTTGCAGCCACCAGTTTGAACAATTGTCTCTTCCGGTTCAATAATTTTTGCAGGTCTAGCTCCTTCCTTTTCCAGCCCCTCAAATGTTGGCTCTTCTTCTACTGTTTCTTCCAACTTGCTGTTATCTTTCGCAATAGCAGCTGTTTTTGGCATTGCCACTTCCTCCTCTGACGAAGATTTATCCTTACCAAGTAATAACACATTATTATCGCTTAGAAGGCGACGAACTGGCAAAAGTTTACGTCTTCGCTCCTTAGCTGAGGCCGTGGTTGAAGCTTCAATCAATGGACTGCCAGCATCGAAAACGGGCGGTGTCAATGACAATTTGGGTGGAGTTTCGTTTCTATTAATGCTATCACTAGAGGAAAGATATTTTTGCGGTTTTCGCCTTGGCCGCCGGGAATTTTGACTACTGGAACTATCTTGATGCACTATTAAAGTACCAGCTTCATCAGTGCGCAAGAAATAACGTGGACCCTTAGGAACGTCGGCATTGGTGTCCTCATCTTCCGATTCGGGAGAGGAGAAACGACCCTTTTGAAAACTCAAACGTTCCAGTATTGAATTACTTGATCTACTCGATAGCCTGCCCGAACTCTGGGAACGACGATATTTTCGTTTCTCTCTGGGGCCCGACGACGATGAGGTTGGCGTTGTGGTGGACGGTGGAGTGGGCAAAAAGTCGGGTATTTTTGAATCATGATCAACATTGAATCGTACACCCTTGAGGGAGGAGGAACGTGGTGATGAATCGGGTAAATCGCCAATATTCAAATCGATGGGTTTGCGGCTGTGGCTGCGACTTCGTTGGCGCAATGTTGTGGCATTGCTCGATGGTGTTGTGGAGAAATTTGTAAAAGTGGAATTTTTCCTGGGTGTCGGCGGCACTTCTTCGATTTGAAGGCCATCGAATTCCTTCTCCAAAGCTTTGCGTACGGAATGCGTTAAATTTGTGGTGGCAGATCTGTGGCGATTGTAGGGACGTTTTTTGGGTTTCTCTTGATGGGGTGGTGGCGGTTCGTAGTCTTCTTGTTTGTAAATTTGTTCGGAATTACCATCTGGACCACCGCCACCACCACCGGGTGGGGCATCAACCAAAAGATTGCCCTTGTGATCGTAGAGCAATATGCGTGGCAAGGCAATATTGGAACATGATTTCGATGTTGTCAGTTCCCATTTCCAGTGATTGGGCTTACGTAGCTGTAGGCTTAGTATGTTGGAGAGGGGATCATCATCAGCATGGGGGTCCTGGTTATGCTGGCTGGTCTGTTCAACATATTCAATATCATCCGAATCATTGTTGTCGAAGTCGTAGGGGGAATATTTGGCATTAATAGAGGTTTTTATTGCACCAGGTGTACCAGCTCTTGTTGATCTTGACGTTTTCTTGGACGTTGTTGTTGTTGTGGTGGTGAATGAGGAATCAGCTGTTGCTGATGGTTGTTGTTGTTGCTGCTGCTGGTTCCAACGCTGATGTCGCCGTCGTTGTTTGTTCATAAACAAATCTGACATTGTAAAATTGCATTCAGGAAACACTTGTGCGATTTTGTTCGTGGTTAACACCCACCCACCTCACAGTCAAAGACTTGGCCACAAACTTGTGAGGAACGACCACGAGAACCAAATCTCCTCTTCCCGCTCACAATGAAAGGCGGCGGGCCTCAAAGTCTATTTGAAAAATTAATGATTCAGTGTAAAATATTTTGTTTTCGTTTTCTTTTGTTTTTGTTTTTGACATTCACATGAATTTCTTGGGCAAATCTTCTTTGCCAGCCATTCATCCATCCACCTGTTGTCAGCGTAAAGTATTCAGCTACTCTGTCATCGGCATGAACTCATTTCACGGATACTCTGGTGGAAGTGGAAGAATAAGTGCAGCTATGTTGAGGTTGGATACATATACCTATGTATGTCACCACCAGCTAGCCATAATAATGACACAGAAATGCGGCGAATAGGGGACAACGGACGCGTCTTGCGTTGCTTGGCCAAATGTTGAAGATCAACATTTAGCCGCTGGCCCAGAGCCAACTGCCACAGCAACAAATAAACAAAAAATTCTTAGTTTTTTGATTTTAGATTTCACAAAATATTTGGTCTTCTATTTATTTCAGATCTCAATGAGCCGTTGGCAGTTTATTTTTATAGTTTGGTCTTTGCCTCCCCCCTCCGGCAGCTGTTTATATTTAGAATTATTTGGTTTTGTTGCTGTTTTTTTTTTTTTAATATTTTGATTGGGGTCCCTCACCAACAAAATTATATGAATATGTTGTGACGCCACTGATTGGGTTGCTAAAGTCAACAACAGAAGAGATGGTCGGTTTGTTGTGTATTTGTGTTACATGTGTACCCGTTTGATCCAAGCGAAAGAGAGTGAGAGAGACAGTAGGCAGGTCAACAATCACCCATTGATGATCGGCGACTCTCGAACAACAATTGATTTCAAGTGGTTGACAGGTTTTTTTCTTTGGCGTTTTTCAATGAAACTTTTCAAAAGTAATTGTTTTGGGTTTTCAAGATTTTCTTTGATAAAATTTTTGAAAAAAAAAAATTGGCTCATTGAAATTTTTTTTTTCTGGGGGTAAATTTTTTCCGAATTAAATTGGCTTTTTAGCATAGATACATTTATGTTTTACTTCAGTGTATGTATTTTCAAATATCCAAAATATTTTTCCGTTTTCAATTTTCGCTTTATTTATTTTGATTGTGCGTATACATGACGTTAACCACTGGCTATGATGACATTTGCATATAAACAAACACAAATGGCGTTCTCTTGTTATTATTTTCTTCTTTTATAATTTGTTTTCTGTATATGATTTTTTATTTAATATTATTTTTTTTTTAATTTTTCTTCATTTTCTCGAGTATCTTTTCACACTGGCACTCTTAACAAGGCAACACCACGTCCGAAAGTTTTAGAACATTTTGTCCAATTGCCTGCGAGAAACTGAGCATCCGTTTGATCATTCGATAGAGATTTAGCATTGCTGCGTATGATCCCGTTGCTCGTTTGTTTGTCCGTTCACAGCAGATGAGTACCAATGTGTTGTCGTGTCGTGAGAGCCAACTGAATGACCAACCGTTTTCTTCTTTGCATTAATTGTTTTTTCACGTTCGCACAGTTCGCATATACTCAATATCTATTCACATATTATTTTGGCAAAAAAAAAAAAAAAAAAAAAAAAAAATGCTTATGTTTCTCCCACAATTCTTTTTTCCCCTAGATTAGATACTCGCCAGGGTTAGGATGTGACCCAAGGATCATAATTCATAGAGATAAAACGCAAGTGTCATAGAATGGAAAACATTACTTATAAACACATATCAAAGAGCAAATTTTAGAGCGATAGACATCGTTTTTCCTAATATTATTAATTAATGGACATTAATGGATATTAATTAATGGACTCATACAAAACCAAGCAAAAAACCTTGAAAACCCTCCACCCTTTGGAACAAATTTTGAAATTTAAAAAAATAAAATAAATAAAATCTGTTAAAATCTTAAAAATACCGCATATAGGCGTTATATTGGGGTCTATACGAAGACGTGGACATGCAAATGCAACCGTTGTCACAAGCCATTACAATATTTAAAAACGAAACTTAAAAAAAACAGGTGAATAATGTATAGGGAGGGGCCGTTATATCGGGGCTATACGAAGACTTTTACTAGCATAGACAATTTTCTCTCACCGTATGTAGTATCTATTGGGAACGTCATATACGAAATTTTAAACAATTTCGGTAAATATTGTACTTAAACCGAACATAAGGAGGTACTGATATATGGGGCCTATACGGGTGAGATAAACATTTTTTAATTTAATGGCAGAAATTGCATCAAATTTTAGACTAAGTTTAGATTTGGTCGAATTGGTCACCTTTGGCACGAATTATGGCCTTCAAACGGCCATTGAAACCGCCACACGCTCTGCGGTATTTTGGCCCATTCCTGGCGAATCGCTTGCTTCAGGTAATCGACATCTTGGTATTTTTTAGTGCCAACCTTCCTTTCCAAAATACTCCACAATAGTCAAACGTGGCCATTGAGCGCTGGAAATGAAGCGAGGAACCTCATTCTATAACAATTCTTGGGTGGCGCGTGCTGAGTCCCTTGGAATGTCCAAGGTCTGCAGCCAAAATGTTTGCGTGCCCAAGGCTTTAAGAATATTTTTGCGATAATATTTGGCATTTATTCTGTTACCACGGTCGATTAATGCGAACGGAGAGCGACGATCGTTTGTTATGGGGGCCCACACCATCACCATGGCCGACGCTTGAGTTCTGGTGGCTAACCGAAGGTGCACATTTTCAGCTGACCTCTTTGGCAAGTAAACACGATCAGTTTGTTTGTTTTCAAACTGCTGGACAACGAATGTTATTTCATCGGAGAAATTCAAATTCGGCAGTTCACCCCCTTCGGTCAAGCTAAGAAACTCTTTAGCTTTTATGAGTCTATTTTTTTCTGTTGCGGTGTAAGTTCTTGCATTTTTTGAAATTTCAGTGGCTCAAATGGCAATGGCGAGCTCATTTTTCAATATTTGCCGTATGGAATATGGCGATATTTTCAGCTAGCGAGCCATTTTTTGGCCACTGCGATGGGGGTTGCGATCAAATCGCTTCTTTACTTTTCGAACCATTTCTGCTGATGTTGCTGCGAGACACAAAAGATTTATTCACATTTAAAGGCTGGAGTGCTCTAACGATAGCAACTTGTGGTACCCCCCATATTCCGTATTTTGACGATTTTAGTCACATTTTAAACAAGGATTTGTCTGAATTTCTACACAAGGAGTTCTGTGCGAGTACCTTGCGCCCTCCCGATATTCGGCATTTTTCTTTATATGAGACAAATTTTTCAATGGAATTGTTTCAAAATCCACAACAGGAAGAGAATTGTCTATATAGGTCCACGATACCGTATATTCCCTATATAACAATATCACAAAATGCTACAAAATCATATCATTATTGGTATTTTGCCCTCTTGACATAAAAGAATAAAATCTCAAAAAATTGCATATTTTGAGATTTTATTCGTTTATGTCAAAAGGGCATTCTGAGTTGACAAAATAGGTCCAGCCATTCTTAAGATATAAGCATTCTAGCTAATATCCCTACTCTTTGAATATACACATTGTATATACTTCGCTATACACATCCGCTATTTTTACTATTGACATCAACGTAATGGTCAGAATTGTCCTTTTCGTCTATTTGTGTAAAAATATTCGCGGGTTAATGGAAAATTTGACATTTATTTAACACAAATGTTATGGTTTATTTGACCCACCAAAAATTTCCCGATGACCATCAAAATTGGAAGACTTCTGCCCAGCTCTAAGCTCTAGCCCCATGCTAAATACGGTCGATTGCTCTATAATTGAGACCTGTAGGGCAACTGCAAAATCAGGAAATTTTTCAGGTTTTGGTCCATTTCAACCCCTTAATATTATGAGAACATCTCCAAAAGCAATAGGCTTTTATTCTGGCTCTAGCCCCACCTCCAATCTAAATTTCGTGAAGATTGGGCCATAATTGTAACCAGTAAAGTCATTACAAATTAACATGGACAGACGGATGGACATACGTAGCTAGAACGACTCAGCCCGGCGAGATAGGAAGATCCATACATACTTTCCTATGTCGGGGACCAATATTTCGAAGTGTTACATCATTTTTGACCCAATCAAATTTAAAATACCAACAACACATAGTGGTGTAGGGTATAAAAAATTTCCGTAATTTCATCAAAATACCGAATAAAGACAGGTACCATTACATATGAGCTATACGAAGACGTAGACCGGCATAGATAATTTTTGTGATAATTTGTAGTACCGATTCCGAACTTAAAATACGAAATATTAAAAAATTTTGCTGTTAGAATACCGAATATCAGAAGGTATTGTTACGTGGGGGCTATACGAAGACGAAATTGCATACGAATTTTTTAGTCATAGGATGATGCATGGTACAAAAAGGAGGTAGAACAGTTTTGTAAAACTACATAGTTACAGCCCTAAGGCTTGCTGTTAAATTTCCATGCAACAAGTTGTTTTAATTTATTTAATATTTTTCCGCATTTTTAAAATCAGTTAAACAGCGGGAAAAATTAATTAAATGCCTGGATTTTCTATCAAAAATATGATCTAAACAGTTCTATCTTTCAATTCCACCGTAAAACTGGCGAATGGCCTTAAAGCGCGTCTCGCAATGTACGCGTCTTCCAATCATTGATTTTGAAAATATTCTGTTTTTATTTTTCAAAACAATAGATATATACACAAAATTGTCAGGCACATTTAGAAAAAAATTGTAATCAGCTGGTAGCTCTACTTTTCTTTTTTACTGTACCGTGGGTAATGTAGTAATATTAAATTTTTGTACGAAATTTGAAACAGTTCTGGTGAATAATGTCGCTAAAAACATCAATATATCGTTAGGTGCCGTTGTATACGAAAATGTGGCCCGACATGGCCCGTTTACGAACTTAACTTGCCTACCACGAACAAAACACTGGCAGACATTTCGGAAATCTCAATGTTATACACAGGAACATATGTCGAACGTCTGCCATTTGGTTTTCTGGGTTATATATCTTCCTCACATAGTTGAATATTATTTTTAACGCCAAAAATCACAATTTCGTTCCCTGTGATCTGCAAGATACATATTCATGTGATTGCATGTGTGTTTCATATGTTTTCTTCTGCTGAGAGAATTTTATAATTTTTGCGGTATATTATGTTGGATGTTTGCTTATTCGTCTTCTTCTTATTTTCCTTTCTATACTACTTTCTGTGTGTTTTTCGCCTATTGCTCGTTTAGAATTGTTTCGAACATTTGAATTTTGCTGTTTTTGTTTATTTTTCCTCAAACATTGTTAATGTTTGAAATTTAATGGATTTTTGTTGATTAATTATTTTTGCTTTTTTGTTTACGAATTATAAACAAGACCTTTGATTTGTAGAGCATATGAGCATATAATTCGCCCATAGAGTTTACATTTGACATTGAGATTAGTTATTTTTCGATAGATGATTATGGGGGCAATTAAAAAGTCAAGTTAAAAGGTTAAGACATGCCCTTTCGTAGAAGAAAAAAAATGTTTGTTTGTTTGTTTTGTAGTCTGTAGTATAAACAATGGCTAATATAATTATATATTTTCTTGGAAAAATAAGTGTTGTTGCTATTTGGAAAACGAGATTGCAATTAACACTAGCTATTTAATAATAAAAAGGCGTATGCGTATTATAATTTCTATAATATAATTATGTTTCTTATTTTGGGAATGAGCTAATTATTATTTGCATATATCTATATATGCACATATCCAAGTGCAAGTTCATTGGCCTGAAAAATTGTGACATGCACTGGCGCATGTTTTGCCTAACGAAAAGATAATTATTTTCCCAGTTTTTGCAAAGAAAAATCTCTTATTTATTTAAGAAAGACGATAATTATTTATTTTCACCAACAGCGGTATTTCAATTTAAATCCAATAATTCATGTCACTTTTGTATACAGGGTGATATGAAAAAACTGCAATTAACTTAAGACTACTGTCTTTTCTTAGCCACTCGTCCTACAGCTGTTAAAATTTTTCCAGTGACAGCTCATTATATTGTTTACAAGCGTACAAAAGCATTTTGATTAGAATTTTTCCAGAAAAATATTATTCGTGTGATGGAATTCAAGCGTGGTACGGTGATTTCTTTATATTTGGCTGGAAAACCACAAGTGGCTGTCGCTAGAGCACTTCAGAATTTAAATGTCAATAAATCTTTTGTGTCTCGTATCATAGCTCGTTGCCGTGATACTGGTAGCGTAGCCCGACATCAAGGAAGTGGACGAAAGAAAACAACAACATCAGCACAAATGGTTCGAAATGTAAAGAAGCGACTTGATCGGAACCCGCGTCGCAGTGGCCGAAAAATGGTTCGTTAGCTGACCATATCGCAATATACCATTCGGCAAATATTGAATAATGAGCTCGGGGTAAAGCCATTAAAATTCCACAAGTGCAAGAACTTACACCGCA